GTTTACACACTCCATTTACACACTTTCTATAACCTGAGCCTGATCAGCAAGTTTTACATGGTGTGCTTAAATAAAATATTATTGACTTAAAGCATGATCAAGACAACATCTTGGTCAATTGCAACAAGTAATATCTTAATAAAGATGAGAAGTTGTACATTAATCTCATATGTGCAAAATAAAATGCATAAAAAATTAAAGCAAACATTTCGCTACTTGACTCCTATTTTTATCACGATATTAAATTTTCACGAGATAACTAAATTTTGTTGATAGATTATTTGGACCTTCATTATTATCATTGCTCCTTTGACATAGTTCAAAAAGCACAAGTTTAGTTGTGCATCATGTACTGCCAAAGCCCTTAAATTTTATTAATGTTTAAAATGACTACATAGCTAATTTTGAACCACTCTGATTTGCCTCATGTTGATATATGTGACATTCATAGTTAAGAAGATGTGTATTCTATTGGGTGAGTTGAACAAGGCCAAATAAAGTATTAAACTTAAGTTAAGATTTTATGCTCTTATGCAAGTGTTAAAAAATGGCAACCTTATTTACTATTAAATTAATTTATTTAGTTTTCATCCCGAGGCCTCAAAATATAAAAAAGCTCGAAATTGGTAAAAAGGAGTGTCAAGTGTGTTGAATACCTAGAGAATTAGGCATTTGTTTTCAAGCATGCACTTGACATTTAGAATAAACCAATGTAACCCCTAGGCACATTAATGCAATTAGTTGTGACATAATATGATAAAGTATGAGATATACTGACTTTCAATTGATTTATCATGATCATAAATATATGCCAAGCCTTCCTTCTGCACGATGGACATGCTATGACATGTTATAAAGCTAGTATTTTTTGCAGCCCCAAAACTTTTTATGAGAATGTTGATTAGGACATGCATGCCGAAGACATGATCATTTACATTGGTTGGGATAAAATCATACACTTAAGTGTAAGTATTATTTTTTTTTATTAAGAAGAAATGTCATTAGGATTGCTAGTATTACGTATTGCAAATGGGAGCGTTTATTAAACAAACACTCTTTTGCATGTACATTTCTATTACCATCCCCTCAGCACCCCAAGATGATTTGCCCTGGAAATTTTTATTAAGATTACTAAGGACGTGTAATGATCATAGTAATGTATTGGTGGTAGAAGAAAATTTTTCTTAAATGACTTATTTCATTTCATGCTCACAGACAACTAGTGCATCATACATTTAAAATCTTTTTTTTTCTTTAAGAAAAAAGGCTACACGGGTTACCAAAGACCACAGTATACGTAATGTATTGGTGGTAGAAGAAAATTTTTCTTAAATCACTTATTTCATTTCATGCTCAAAGACAACTAGTGCATCATACATTAAAAATCTTTTTTTTTTCTTTAAGAAAAAAGTTAGGCTGCACGGGTTACCAAAGACCACAATATACCAAAGAAATGTTAAGTTTTCTTAAAAATGAAAAATAATAGGCATTATTCATGAATATTAATCAAGCTTTCACCAACAAATCAATGATTATATTGAGATAGTAAATATAAGTATTAGAAATCAATTAAGTAAGAAAAGAATACACAAATCCATATGTAAGATAATATTTGAAATTGTTCTTGAACTAGCGATTAGAAAGCCAATAAACCTTTACCTATTTATCAATGCTTATTATTTTAAAATATTTTGCAACAATTGAATAATACAAACATTATTTAAATAATTAAGTTAGAAATCAGATTGAGTTCCATAAAAAGAAATATTATGATTTCCTAAATACTAAAAAAGGGTGTTCAAGAATATAATAAAGATGAAATTATTATGATTCATGCATGTCCCAATTGGTTTGCACAAGCTAAAAAGTAAGAAACCGCATGCAAGAGCATGTGATCATTCTAAATCTAGTTATAAAACTCATGTCTTAAATTTTCATTATAATGTATTTTTTAATTTTTGCATGAACATTAAAAATTTATTGAAGAACATTCAAACTTTCAAGAATTTCTTTTTAATTATTCACTGAGTGACATATATCACCCCATTTCGATACTCTTTGCTTAATTGATGTTGAAGATAAAATTTAACAAAAACCCTTCAAATGATACCTAAATAACTAAGAGGAAACAACAGAATCTATGTCGAAACTGTACAACGACTACATGGATCACAATTCTCTTCATAAGAGTTCCGTCCACCTCAGAGAATTGAAGCAACTAGTTCCATTCACAAAGCCTACGTATCGTAAGTCAATCATAAGAAATCAAATTACACCACAATGTACTAGAAACCAACCCACTTCCATGCCTTTATAGACTCATTTTTATTTAAGGCCTTTTTTTTCTTTTTTTTTTTATAATTACGATCTTTCTTTACACTGGTAGGAATAGTTTTAATTCCAATGCTTGTTGTGGATTAGAATTACATTTGAATAATATGCCATATTTTTGTAACCATACATTCATAATAAGATCCTTGATGTGTAATTGAATTACTATTGATTGATGATTAAATGAATTCAATGGCCCATCTCAAGTCTATTTAATTTGAATTTTGGGGAATTTACATACATAGCACTTAAAACTTTCAACATTACATATTTCACACCAAAACTTCTTTATTTACAGATTTCAAACTCAAAATACCAAAATAAGCACAAAAACAAAACCCCTATGTTAAAACAGTAACCTCCGTTAGCAATTATTGTCTCGTTACCATCGATACGCAACAGTGCGGTGGACATCCTTCAAAGGGAGCAACGAGATATAAGCGTACAAAAAACTTTGATACGCCGATATTTCTCCTCCCGCCTCAATGTTCGATAGCTAGGGAGGTAACAACTGAATAGCAGCTTACAAAAAAGCTTGAAAATCCCATATTTCTCCTCCTCCTGCCCCGCTACTACCAAAAACCATTGAGGAAAGGTAACCATCTTCTCTTTCTTTCACTTCCTCTTACCCATCTTTGCACGCTACAGTATCTCTAAATCCAGTAAATCACCTTCCAATGGTATTAAATTAACCTTGGATTTAAGGCAAAACAGAGGACAAAAAAGATTTCATTTTTGCTGTTGACAGGATCCTAAATCCCGCTGCTACCAAACAGCCATCAAGTTGCCTTTTATCAGAGCGGTGAGCTCTTGCGGTGGTCGCGCGAGATTTTGCTAACTCTAACGGAGGGTGAAATATGTAAATAAATAGTTTTAGTGTGAAATATGTAATATTGAAAATTTTAAGTGCTACATATGTAAATCCCCTTTGAATTTTTTATTAGGTTTTTTCTTCACATAGGAATTAGGAATTTAATTTACATTTAAATGATTTGTCAAATCCTAATAGCTATATTTCTATAAATAGAGACTAATGATCTTTAATTGAGTTACGATTGCTTGATGATTAAATAAATGCAAAAAACTTGACCCCTTTGAACCCATCACCCGCTTGAGAAAATAAATAAGTTAAAATAATTATGGAAAAAGTGATTACCCTTAGTCGTCTCTCAATAGCTAACCTCAAGGTCAGATCTTCTAAACACTGTTCCAGTTTGTTCTTTGCTGCTCGTAAGGAACCAGCTTCATTAAAAGCCTGTAGAAACATTATAATATGAGAACCTAGCTTGAAAACAGAAAAAACTAACAGAAGAACAAGAAAAATTGATCAACGGTGATATTCCAAAGCAGCATATCTGCACTCTAGCCTGTATCGAAAAAGAAAAAGCATTTGGTAAATGTAGAACATAAAAACAAAAAATGAAGGATTTAACAACCAAATAAATAAAAAGATAAAAGGTTCAAGTGTAGCTTTCTTAAATCTAAGTGGAATTAAGAAATCAATAGAACTCTCAATCCATCAAGGCCAACCATTAAAAATTTCACTTAAAACCATATAACTGGCTTACAAACAGTGGATATTCCAGTCAGAACCAGCTTCATTAGGAAAAGAGATCAGAGCTGAGCTTCACAAGTTTGAAAATATAATTTTGAATAAAACATAACTTTTTTTTCATTGCTTTTCTCTTTTTTTTTCTTTGTGTGGATATTCCAGTCAGAACCAGCTTCATTAGGAAATGAGTTCAGAGCTGAGCTTCACAAGTTTGAAAATATTATTTTGAATAAAACATAACTTTTTTTTCATTGCTTCTCTCTTTTTTTTTTCTTTGTTTCTTTGTTTTTTTTTAAGAAACAAGTAAATGATTCTAGTAGAATCATTTGAAAAGAAATGCATAAGCCATATGCAGCAAGCTATCATAAAGCCAGAAACAAAATAAACCACAGGAATAAACTGGCAAGAAATTTTACATCAAAAATGTTTAGAGACTGATGAGCGATAAATATTCAAAGACAAACTACCAAATCATTCATGCATCAACCATGAATCCATGAATAGCCCCATCAATCCACTTAAAGCTTTATTATGAACTAGTATTATATTAAGAAAAATAGCCATACTAAACATTTAATGCATCCATATAAACCTATTTACTAATCAAATATCAATTATGAGGCTTCTGATGTTTTCCCAGATGCCTGAACGGATATTGGAGGTATATTCAGTTAGTTGAATCACACCTGTTAATGTTATGCCCCATGTTGATTTGAGTATAGGTCGCCCTGAGGTGTGACATAATAAAAGCAAGCTAACAAGTTTAAAAAAAAACTATGATCTTCAAATAAAATGACTTGGTGTAGTTTATATTAAACGAAAGATTTCATGTAGATTCATATGAAAAACTAATGCTAGTTGATTGTTCATTCAGGGTTTTCAAAAAGATCAACGGCAATGCTTTAAAGATTGACCTACTTGTGATAGAATATTTATGCTACTTTAGATATTGTTGATTGGTTGTCATACCACAAAGATCTAAGAGCTTCGGGAGATGAAGGCAAATCCCTCACACCAGGGAAAATGATATAGACATCAGCAACACAGGAGGGATAGATATAAAACATACTAGGCAGCTCCGGATCATGACAGGTTCAGATTTTTTTTCTATGTAGGAATTAGGATTAGAATTATTTTGTTTTTTTCAGTATAAATAATACTTTAAAACCTGTTTTAGGGACTTTGGGCTTGATTTTATATGATTAGATATTGTTTTCTCTAATTTTCTCTTCTTAGAGTGCTGAACCTTATTATCCTTCAAGTTGGGTGTGTGCACGTTGCTCGATCAAAGACTAGCTGCCTTCCTTTCTTTGCTACACCATTTTCCTTCAACAATTGTTGCCGCCCCTTATCTTTTCAAAATAAATTGATTTTCTAGTTTCCCCTCTCCATCCAAACCTTCAAAATATCCTTACCCTCTAATCCATCCTTATGCACCATCTAAAAGCCCTAAATTGGTATTTTTTCTTGATTATTTATCAAAGTATGACATGATTTAAAATTTATTGAACTGATACAGCAATATTTATGAATGTTGACACTCATATGAGTTCAAAAAACCAACATGCATAATTTTCCCTAATCTTATATTTTAAACCTAATATAAAAAATATTTATCCCATTAAGTTTTAACTAATCATTCTCTCGAGAAAGAAAAAAACTGTTTGGGTCATAGTTAGGTGACCCAATTTTGCCCTTTAAGTTGGTATTTTAGGTGTGCAGTTTGGGATGTATCATAAAAAATGTACATAATATAAATTGAAAACTTTGAAAATGTAATAATTATCTAAAAAAATTATTTGATGATATGTAACCTATTTTAACGATGTAGATTATGCAGACTAAGTGTTAAGGCTTGTAATGCATCTATAAGAAGATTTCATCCATGTAACTTTCTATTTACCTAGTCCTAATCAATAAAAGTATTTGGAGTTGGAGGAAAATGCGTCTGATGAGATGGCCCGTTTGCTGGATCTCACCAATAGGGGTCAAAATAGGAAAAGATATGTACTCTTAGGTTTGCCTTTATTCATATTTTATTAATGAGCTAAGCCTGTCAATTTGTACTAGTTAATGTATGTCATATCGTCCAATAACAACAACAACAAGACTTTAACCCACTAAGTAAGATCAACTACATAAATCTTTTTCTTCCATTGTGTCCTATTAAGTGTCATATTTCATTTAATTCTAATAAATTAAGATAATCTTTTTTACAACATGCCCAACTCTTTTTTAGCTCTCTAACTCTACCTATCTTAAAATAAATCAAATCTAAAAGATCTACCCTCCCAATTGTGTCATCAGATGGTCGATGCTTAACGTGGCCAAACTATCTAAGGCGGCTCTCTCTAATCTTGGCTGGCACTGGAGCTACTCCAACCCTTTCATGGATATCATTCACGGTAGTCAATCAGGATACAAAGATGTTATCTTTGATAGAAGATAACAAAATTTTGTGCTTATTGTTCCACCTTCACGAGAGGAGATAACCAACAGACTAAAGGAATCTGTCAGAGTCAAAAGCTCTCTTTCAAAAGAATAGCAAAAGAGCCATTCTTATAGTTGATCAACATCAAATCAACAAAAATGTAAAATTTCAGCCTATTTGCAATCCCATGGTTGTAGAAGGGATGAAAAAAGAGTCCAAGATATAAAAGAAGAGAAAGATCTCTTATTTGCTAAAGCGAAAGAGAAAAAAAGGGGAGGACTGTGTCCAAAATGATCTCCTAATGGAATAGTGATCAAGATCAAGAGGCGAAAAGTATTGAAAGTTGGCAATTCAAAGGGCACAAGAATTTGGATGAATTCCGAGTTTTGAGATAGTTTAGGATACATTGATAACTTGAATTTCAAATTCATATGAGTTTGTTCCAATTTTTACGGAGAAAATTTAGGGAAGAGGGAAGCCTTAAATTATTTCATTTTGCATTTTGCCAGTTAAAAGGTAACTAGGGAAGCCTTAAATTATTTCATTTTGCATTTTGCATTTTGCCAGTTAAAAGGTAAGAGGAATCCAAGGGTTCTCCAACACTTCCTTAACTCTTTGCCACTCTCCCCTCTCCCCTAAGGATTCCAAAAATTTGCCAGCTATAGCAGCCTTTAGTCCATTTTAAGCCCCTAATGCATCCTCTGCCTTCCGCAAACACTTACAGCAACTAGAATTCCTTCTTACAACACCGGTTAGCCATCCACCTGTTTTTTCACTTACAGCAACTAGAATTCCTTCTTACAACACCGATTAGCCATCCACCTGTTTTTTTACCAAAAAAAAAAAAAAAAAAAAAAAAAACAAGCACAGCACTCTGGAATTGATATTTTCAAAACAAACTTGCTATACCTTAATGGAAAAGCAACGTGAAAAATCTCAAGTAGTCTAGTAAAAATACTTTATCTCAGTTCAAAAAGTCTTCCACACAACCAATCTTGAATCACCCCACGTCCTACATCAGTCTACCTCTACTCACCATACTCATTATTTTCCCTTTCTAGGAATTTGTACATCTCTGCATACATGCCTGTTATGAACATCTGCTAATTCTTGAAGGGACGTGTGGCATTGTATGTCCATTAACACTGAACAGAAGGTTGTTAAACCATATCATAAATGCATACCGTTTGTTAATAAACAGCAGGAAAATTGAAAAAAAAAATACCACAGCATTCTGAAAGTTATAATCTCCACAGGCAATCAAGGAATTCAAACGAGATTAAATTAAGATAAAAAATCAAAACATGAATGAAAGGTAAAGCGTCAAGCGAAGAGCTATGAAATGTCTAGAACAAGTATCGGGCAATTTGACAGAGAAATAAAATGATATGTAAGACAAATAAAAAAAACTAAGTAGAGATCTATGAAACAGCATACAATCTTAAGCTTCTGAAGCTTTCTTCTTGCAAGCTTCCGTTTCCAAGCACATTGGATTGAAATTGCAGCTCGCCGACGACGCTGGAAAACTGCGCTCATCTTCCACATCTTCCACCATGCCTAAATATCAATAATAGGTCATGCAAGAAATGAAGTGGAAAAAAGAGACATGCATACCATCCAAATAAAAATGGCTAAAAAAATATTAAATATACAGAAGAAGAAAAGGAGCACCTGAATTAAGATAGAGGCCCTGTGCTCCTTCAAGCAAGCAAGCATCTGGCGAGCAGTGAAACCACGAATGCTAGACTGAATGATCAGAGCAGCTGAATAAAGCTTTTGAAATGCCTTTCGTGCAATCCATCTGCGAGCATGTGCTTGAATTACTAGGGCAGCAGCTTCACATTTCCTCATTGCATGGACACTTCTTGCCAAGCAGCCTGCAGTTCCACGGAAAAAAAAGAACCAAAAGAGAAAATAGCAAACATTTATTTATCCAACACACTTGGAATAGCAAAAGCAACAGCATACTTGGAAAGTTAAAAGCATGCATAGGAACAGTGTTTAAAAAGGCAACATACATAAATAGAAAAGGACTACAATGATATAATAAAACAATACTCAAAAACTTAACCATAAAAAGACAACAAGCACAATTGACTCAGACATGCTAATTATATTAGTTACAACATCTATTCATCTATTACCTTGACAATTATCCAGATTTCCCAAATGCAATTAAAAAAACAAATTGAATCAAAAGATATTCTCATTGTGTGGCCAAGGATGTGGATTACCAAAATGACAAGGAAGATGAGTCTCAGGGAAAAGAAGTCATCAAAAGTCTGAAAGGTTATAGCTTGATTGGATGTCACAATGTGCAAAATTCAGAGAAAAAGAATAAATCAGCTTATATAACTTGGCTATGAAGAAAAAAATGACAAGTGCATAACCAACAACCCCACGACATTACAATATCTTAAATAACAAAGTTGGAATGAATGCAGCACCCATATACCCAAGTACAACAAAATCTTACAGCACCATCGACAAACACCAAATATTTGATTTATGATGAAAAGATAAAACATAAAAAATTACTCAGTCATCACGTAAGAGATTTAAGCAATGTTATGTTATGCTTGCTATCCATATCTCCATTAAGGCTCCCCTAGCCCATTTACATTTAGTCGCATTCCCCGGCACAATAAATTGTGCTTGCTTTGTTGCAAAATTGATGTTAATATCAATACAACATTTGGTTATTCCTTTGCAAGCCCAATTATATAGAGTCACATTGCCCTGCACAATAAACTCAGAAGTTCTGTGAATCATCCCTTCTCCACAAAAATTTATCAGGGCCCGCTAAATGGCCCATTTACCCTTGTGATGAACTATCAAGTCAAAATTTTTATTGAGTTAAGAAAAAAACCATTTTTTCTCATCCATTCATAATTTTTTAAAAACCAAAATTTTTTCTTCTCATTAAGAAGGAAAACGACCTTCGCTGGTGAAAAATGTAAAAAAAAAAATTCATTTTTTTTCCAATATCAAGAATATTATGAATTTCTAGTAATTTATGTCATTCTCATTTAAGTTCATATGTATGTGAGTAGGCGTTAATAACAACTTTTATTTTACAAAAATGGCCACATGCAGTAGGTGTGCATGCATTTCCAGCTAGTTTACAATGATTTAAAAGTCATCATATAACACCAGTAACTGCACGGAACAGCAACTTAATAGTACGCTTAACATCATCATAGAAGACTTGGCTTTCCCTTATTTCTGCAATTGCCCGTAGTTGTCATCATTTATCAATCATAACAAGAACAAAAAAAGTTTGACTTACCCCGGCAATATGCTTGGAGAGTAACAGCAGCACATTTAGTTTTAACAAACTCCTTGCGAGCAATAAATGTCAGAAACCGAGTCTGAACAAACCTTGCCGCACTATTCAAGACTTCATTTCGTCTAGCATCTAATATAGCAATTTGGCCAGCCCTGAGAAAAACTTTGGACTTCCCAAGCTGCAAAATGAAAAATGATCTGGTAGAAAAAGATAACAATATTTTACACGGATGAATGCTGTTCCACATAGTTAAATTTTGAAGAAATTTCAAATTTTAAAGAGATTTACAAATACATAGGACTCTCTTCCACACCTCTTAATTAATCAAAATAGTGCAATGAAAAAAGTTTCAAAGCAAAAGCATTTCGTGATAACTTATAATAGTAGAAATTTAGATAGCAAAATAGCTAGACAGCATGTATAAGTAAAAACAGGATTTCTCTCCAGATTTCCCTCAGTTCTACTTCTATTATGAAGCATTTCGTGATAACTTATAATAGTAGAAATTTATATAGCAAAATAGCTAGACAGCATGTAAAAGTAAAAACAGGATTTCTCTCCTGATTCCCCTCAGTTCTACTTCTATTATGAACTCAAATCGGTGTCCATATATAACTTTCCAATAACCAGACTACAGTATTGACACTGTTCTAGGGCTCCTAAAAGTTGTAGAATCTGTAAGAGGACGGATGGAGGCTGAAAATTGACATGAATGACGGCTACGCAGAAAAACATAAGCGGGAAGATGGCAGTTTTCTGGCTGAAAGAGCAGTCGGCAGCGGTTTCGACAGATGCATGGCTGAAAATAGCGAGCGAGCAACGAAAAAGCGAGGTACGAACGGCGAGCGGGATCCACCAATTGTTCCTGGCCAAGCTACTAATAATCACTTGCAAAAGGAAAAGATTACAGCACTCCCGAGAGCAGAAATCTGAGAAAAAAGACCCCAAAATATATAAAATCAAGCTAAGTCTTAAAAACAACAAGAATACCCCTATATAAAAATCATCTAATAGAAACTAACCTAATTAAAAATAGAGAAAAAAGAGAGATATAAACGAAAAAAAAAATCTATTGGAATTTATACAAGATTACAACTCGTATGGGATGTCTGCCCGCAATCGCGGATGGTCCCACGATCTCGTGAACTGAGAACACGCAGCTTCAGCACCTGCATCACTCTCCTCGAGTAGCAGAGGCTTCTCTCTATCGGCTCTAAAAATCCATGCCCTCGTAGTACGAAAACATTAAAAGTGGTTGAAATATCGTAGCTCCTGATAGGTCAATTTTGTAGACATTGTCATTACTCCTCTTAACAATCTCGAATGGACCGTCGGCTCCTCTAGGCTTGAGCTTTCAAAATGAATCTACAAGAAACCGCTCTCACAGCTTGATCCAGACCATGACACCTTTCATTAAAATCATAGCCTTCCTAGACTTATTAGCCTGTTTTTGATACTTGGTGTTCTGCGTGGGAATCTTTTTCCTAGCTTGCTCAAATATGATCTGCATATCCTTGACTCGAACCTCGATATCAGCACTAAGCTCGGTGGCTGGTAACAATGGGACTAACTCTAAAGCTGAAAAGGATTCCATCCATACATCTCAAAAGATTTGACCTGTGGACGGAATAGTAGAACAATTTTAGGCACTCCACCAGAGGGCGAACAAGCATCTAAGAAGGCTTCCCAAATTGTGATTTATCACATTTGTTTGCCCATGTCTGAATTGAGCTGTTGAACTAAACTGAAGCTTTGTAACTAATCTACCCCATAAAGTCCTACAAAAGTAACTGAGAACTTTTATTTCTCCATCTGGCATGCTCTAAGGTATACCATGAAGACGAACTACTTTCTTGAAATGTAAGTTTGTAATATCAGAAGCATTCATCGTCTTATGGAAAGAGAAAAAATACGCCATCTTGAAAAATAATCTACCGCCACCACGACAGAATCCTTATTTCGCTTTGTCCGGAGCAAGCCTGTAATTAACAGTAAAAAAGAGAGAGATCTAAGAAAATTATCATTCGAATAGATATATGGATAAGCACCTTTTCGTTTTATTTTTTTAAGAGTCATACATCCATTTCAATGAGAGCAAAAACCGAACAAGAAAAACACAAGAATCGTTGTAACACACAAATTTTAGAAATTAGGTAAAAATTTGACAAATTCTGAGCAAGCCTGTAATTAATAGTAAAAAAGAGAGAGATCTAAGAAAATTATCAATCGAATAGATATATGGATAAGCACCTTTTTGTTTTATTTTTTTAAGAGTCATACATCCATTTCAATGAGAACAAAAACCGAACAAGAAAAACACAGGAATCGGTGTAACACAAATTTTAGAAATTAGTTAAAAAATTGACAAATTCCAAAAGTACCAAAATTTCTCATTCTCTAAAATTTAATCGAATTATTTTTATAAAATTCTATGCATAAAATTGATCAATTCGATTGAAAGCACTACAAATGAATTAGGAACGGAATGGGAGATATAAAATTTGAAAGCTATATGTTTATTTAACCTAAGTAATCCTTAATTATCCTAATCCATCTCTAATTCCTGCACTGTTGTTACCTACTGACTCCAGCCGCATATAACTATCCATGCAATGTCTTGATGGGATCAAACAGCTGAGATCTTTTAGGAACTTCTTAAGTGCCGCATTTCCCTTCCCCTCTCCTTATTCCCTCGCCCTCCCTAATGTTGTCCGCTCAACAAAGTAGGTCTGCCATACTTGCTACAGTGCAGGGGCAAACCGTGCAAACCGAGAAACACCAGAGAAGCCGTAGCAACATTTTAAGCCTCCAAAGCTCTAAAATTTCTTCCCTTCTCTCTCTCAGTTCCCCTCTCCCTCTCAGGGGGCTCAACAGAGCATGCCACTCTAGTTACAACGTATGGGCGAGTAGGCAGGTCGAGCAACACAGAGGGAAGCCGCAGGCTGCGGTTTAGATTTCCGTGAAGAAATCTTAAAGTATGAAATCCTCTTCCTCGCTATTTTAGAGCATTATTTCCTTCCTCACATTTATGTTCATCTCAATTTTTGTGCATTTCCAATGGCTGTCGGAGAGGCTGCAATTGCATCGGAAGTTTCAAAAGATATTTGAAATCTTCCGTACAAGTTTAAGCACAATATTAGCTAGGGGGAAGTAAACATTAAGGTGTTAGAAAGAGTTAGGGAGAAAATAAGTGACTTCTAAAAAAGAAAATTTATGTTGAAAAGCTCATTTGAGCTATGTTTTGGAAAAATAAGTTTTTGGGATAATAAAGGTTAAGAGCCAAAGAAAATTTATGTTGAAAAGCTCATTTGAGCTATATTTTGGAAAAATAAGTTATGTTTTGGGATAATAAAGGTTAAGAGCTCAAATTTTATGAATTCCGAGGATGCATACAAATTCTCAGATCGTCTATACGAAGCGAAGAGCTCCAAACAAGCGTGTAGAAATTAGTGTAGAAATTAGTCGTAGGGCTGCTCCTCAAGTTAAGTGAAATAATTTTGTACCAATTTAAGATAAATAATCTTCTCTAGGTTTTCATATAATTTCTCGCTTGTCACTGATATATTTATGTAAATGAATATCTGCTTGAAATGTAAAATTGCCAGTTGACTTCTTTTCCTAAATATGTGATGCAATGTTATGCTATGATACACAACAAATATTCATTTATGATTTATACATGTATATAGAATGTCTATGAATGTACGTTACAAGTATTATGCTTTAAAAAAATGTTATGATTAATGTCATAAGGAGACTATTACGTGAGTGTTTACAAGAACACTATGTAGAGATGTAGTAATCCCAACTCTTGATATTTATACGGGGATGAAATTCTGTAAACCGTTGGAATTAAGTGGTGAAAAAGTATTAGGGAACCTTGGGTATCTAGAGGGCTATTGATAGCTGCTATGTTGACGGAAACACAACCTTTATAGAAAATTTATGTGGCACTTGGGACAGAGTGACAGCCATGATGATAGTACATGAGAATAGTTAAGTCTTACACATTTACAAGTGACATTATTTAGCAATAACATTTATAAAATGACATTGTTATGATCACAAATGATAAACACGTGAACATGTCTATGAACGTGTTTTTTTTATTATAGTTAAGGTTTCATGCTAATGACATACATGCTTACACTAAAGTCCTGATTTTTTTTTTATTTAATTTTTATAGATGTTATGACTTATATGTTGACATGTACAATTCATACAAGCATGTGCGTTATTTCTTTTCCATGTATAAAATCCTATGTTAGCCCTAATTATTTCTCTAAGTTCGTTGTTGCCTTCCAGGTAGGGGCAAGGAGAAACTATGCATAGTTTCATGAGTTGTACAAACATTTTGGGTATGCATTTTATTTATGTTAGATTTAGCAACTCCGTATAGTTTTCATATTTTGAATGATATGATTTCCATGCATCAAAGTATGTATATGAATGAATTATGAAATAAAATGTATCATGTATGCTGCGACAATTTAGTAGAATAATTCGTCACTCACAGATTCTGATTTTGCAGATCAAGACAAGTGTTAGTGAGAATTTAGTCAGACGGGGGGAAATTGGGATGTAACAACCAAAAAGTTAAAGAGCGAAAGATAGTGAGAGAGGAAGAGAAATTGAGAAGAGTATACGAAGACAAGAGAATGATTCAGCTGAAGAATTGAGAAGAGTATACGAAGACAAGAGAATGATTCGAGGTGGTAAGTCCAAAAGAAGAAGAAGATAGGAGAAGAAAGAAGGAGACGCAGAACGATTGAGAGCAGGAAAAGAAGAAAGAGAGGTCAGCTGAAGGAACCTCGCATGTGGGTACCATGAGGAAGGAAAAGTTAGCCAAAACTCTAACCCATTTTCTGGAGGAAGCAAAGCCGCAGAAGAGGAAGAAGAAAGAGGGGATCGTTTCCAACCTACCTTGAGGGTTCGAGAAGAAAAGTAAGACTGTTGAATCGAGACAACTGTGTGAGGAGAAGAGGAGTCGAGCGCTTCTATGTGCCGAAACAAGATGAAGGAGGAGGTGTTTACAATTTTTTTTTTAATTTACAAAATTTAAAATAGATGTTTAATGATTAAATATTAATAGTAAGTTTTAAATAAATCATGATTCAACTTATAGGAGTTTGACTTATGGATCGAGAAACGGGTGGCGGCAACAAAGAAAAACTAAAG